TTCACCGAGAGTCAAAGTTCTCTCTGGGACTGGTGGATTTCGCAAGGTGCCTCAGGAGCTACTGCTCAGGGCAAGGTGAGTCCACACAGATCAGATTTGCTAGCGCTGCCTTGCCTTACCTGTTTTATCTAAGGTTGGGTTAAGAAGCAAGCCTCCAAAAAGTTCTTCTGGATCAATCAAGGTGGGGGTACTAAAACTCCTAGAAATATATCAAGATGGAAGAACTTTTCTTGAAGAGCAGTCCTGCATGAAGCTGGAAGGAATATTCTACCATGAGTGCAAGCTGAGAGCTCCCTCACGGGTGCAACTCAACCCTGACGGTACTTAAGCTGCCTCCTAAGAAGAGTGTTGTTGCGCTTAAATACAAGGCTTTCATTTTGCTCAGTCTGGCTGATTTCTTCCATCAGCACTGGATTTTTCACTTTTATGGGGGCAACATTTAACTTCTTGAAAACTGTTGCATAAATATTTAAGGAAAATTATTGTGCAGTGGGTACCAAATGAGGAACCTGAACAAGAGTTTCTGCAGCTCTGGGTTCAATCCTCATTATAAATATTTAAGCCCTGCACTGAAGTATGTAAAGATAAAGGGGCATTTTGTCTGCAACTCAGTCTCAAAAATTTTAGAAAAAAAATCCTATATGTACACATGCACACAGATGCATACATACACACAAAGGAAAGGATGAGCAAACGTAGTGAAACGTTAGCATATGGGGAATCTGGGAATTCTAGGAATTCTTGCAATTTTTCTGTATGTCTAAAATTAAATAATTTTTTAAAAGGTTCTAAACTCGGGGCGCCTGGGTGGCGCAGTCGGTTAAGCGTCCGACTTCAGCCAGGTCACGATCTCGCGGTCCGTGAGTTCGAGCCCCGCGTCAGGCTCTGGGCTGATGGCTCAGAGCCTGGAGCCTGTTTCCGATTCTGTGTCTCCCTCTCTCTCTTCCCCTCCCCCGTTCATGCTCTGTCTCTCTCTGTCCCAAAAATAAATAAACGTTGAAAAAAAAAAATTAAAAAAAAAAAAAAAAGTTCCAAACTTGATTTTTAAAGGAAAAAACACATGAAAAGTTGGTAAATATCTGGACTAAATAATGTAAAATGTCCCTTCATAGATCTATAATTATATTTTTCCTTGATCATGTGAGTCTAGATTTTTCTGTAGATCACCGTATCAAGTGGGTGTTTGTCTTTTCTTTAACTTATTTTTGTTTAATTTTAGAATAGATTCAATATAGAAATATTTGGAGAAATAATACAGAATAAAGAGCTGTCATCTGAGATATCGTTTTGTCATTGTTGCCACTGGGTTGCATTGACATCAGAGACCCACCGAACACTTGCCAAATATCTTCTTAGTTTTGTAATATCATGTGTGGAATGTTGAAGCCTGCCTAAGAACTTAATTTATTTAAAAATTTAAGGCGAATGTAGCACATTTTCAAATACTGTGATTCGTCAATTAAAATGCATGCTAGAGGATATAATTTATTTGGAGGGTGATAGCCAAGTCTTAAAATGATCAGTAAGGAAAGAGTCTGACAGTAGCTATAAATAGAAATAATGTGAATTGTCAAGGTAATTTTAATGAAGCATTAAATCAAAAGAGGATTCCTGATATAAAAAAAATTAAATTTGAGTAAATAGCAAAGGGTAATAGTGGATTAGAAAGCAACTAAATTAGTTTTTAATTAAAAAAAGTCAGGAGTCCTGAAAAGTCCAATCCCTACCCTTTGTGTTAAGAACCTCTATTAAGATAATGACTCAGCTGTTGGGTTTAGAAATTGGCTTCCATTTCCATTATTCTTTTCCACATTTCCTTCTCTTAAATAATCAGGTTAAAAAAAAAAAAAAAACACCCTGAAAGTTAATGTTAGTGTAAGGGTTTGTTTTTTTTTGTTTTTTTCCAGTCTGGCAAATTAGAAAGAGAATGAAATTATGTAATTTGAAAGGATGTCTCTTTGGAAAAACATAAGCATATTGTTTATATTTGATAGCTTATCGAAAAATTTTGAGGGTAACTTGTAGGGCACTTCTGGAGCCAGACTTCTGGGCAAGCTGTTCGTGTTTGGCACACCTACTGTATTTCTGACTGCCTCAAATTACTACTCATTTAGACTCTTCATTTTAGCTGGGAAATGAACGTAGCTCTCTATTGAAATAATGACAAAAAAAAAAACACAAAAACCCTCATTGCTTAAGGGTTGAGAACAAACAGCCATACTGACCCAAGTGCACAATGGGTCTCCAAGCCTGATGGCTCCTGATGGCTCTCCAAGCCTGAGTTTGTCATTCAATAAAAATTTTATGTGGCCATCTTGAATTCAGAAGACATTGGCTCACAAAGTTCTTAGTCCTCAGGACTGCATGTTCAGACACTTTTAGTTCAGTAGAATGGATACCAAGCCAATCTAATTGGAATGGAAAGAGTTGGCTGTTAATTTTGATCGGGAAGAAATGAGTTAAAGGAGCGATGATTAACATAGAGCCATGAACAGAGTACAAAGCAATAAAATATAAGCCAACTTCGCTACAGGCTCCTCAGATTCTGTTGTGATTATTGGAAAAGAGATTTCGATTTGGGGTGATTTTATTACACTACATTTTTAAATGAAACTTGAATGAGGATAATATTTTAAAATACAGTCGTTTTTCCTTTAAATTCAACTTTCACTTTCATCCTGCTATGGAGAATTTGTTTTTGAAAAGCAATTAAGTACTGTTTCCCTGACCACTTTCTGGTCAGGAATCTCTCTTTTTTTTTTTTTTTTTTTTAACGTTTATTTATTTTTGAGACAGGGAGAAACAGAGCATGAATGGGGATGGTCAGAGCGAGGGAGACACAGAATCTGAATCAGGCTCCAGGCTCTGAGCTGTCAGCACAGAGCCCGACGCGGGGCTAGAACTCACGGACCTCGAGATCATGACCTGAGCTGAAGTCGGCCGCTTAACCGACTGAGCCACCCAGGCGCCCTTCTGGTCAGGAATCTCCATAGTTCACCTCTGTTTCTCCTCTAGATCGTCACCTCCCTTCAGCAATGTCTAACTCTGGACTGTGTTTCTTCTTCCTTCCCTAGAAATATGCGCCAAGTCGGAAAGAGAGAAAGGACTCGGACATTAAGAAAAAAGGAGTAGATGATTCTTTTGAGAGATAAGGGCTACTTTGCTATAGGGATTTTGACATTTCTTTTAGGTTTAGAGTCATGGACAATTTTTTTTATAAACATTGTGGGGAAACAAATCTTCCAGTATGCCTTTTATTTGTGTTTAGGTTTTTCTCCTTTTGGAAAGAATAGAAAGAACTGTAAAGGAACGATGATTCAGCTCAACTTCACTGATGTCATCGGACACTATAAAGGGACAATGAATTAGGAAAGGAAGTCATATGGTTTTAAGCCCAAATTTGAGTCCATTGGGGTTCGTGGGGAGTGTGAGGAGAGTTCTCTTTGCTTAGGGAGAGCCAAGGGTAATCTTAAATCTGGTTATAAATTTAGCATTTCTTTTTTTTGAAGTTTACTTATTTTGAGAGAGAGAGCAAATGGGAAATGGTAGAGAAGGAGAGAGAGCGCGCGCGTGCGCAAGAGAGAGAATCTCAAGCAGGCTTTGTACCACCAGCACAAAGCCTGATGCAGAGCTCAAACTCATGAACTACGAGATCATGACCTGAGCCGAAGTCGGACACTTAACCGACTGAGCCACCCAGGCGGCCCTAAGTGGGAGACTTCTTAAACAGGAGCTGCTTGGATGACAACTTTTTCCAGAATGTAGCTGGATAGCTTTTACGTTCCACTTCTCTCCCTTTCACGATGTGATTAGAGATCTGTATCCATAAATGCCTGTATTTTCTAACTCATCTCAGAAGTGAATTTGCAAAGGATGGATCACTGTCAAATTATTTGCCACGTAACCCTTTCTGTTTTCCCCAAAGATTTTTAGACACCAACTACTTTTCTGGATAATGGATTAAAAGTCCTAAAAGCAGTGGAATCAAAATCATTTGCCTAAACAAAGAGATGGAAATAAGTGTGTTGAATGGACTCGGCTTTCCTTGTGCTACGAGACTCTATGGTGTAAAATGTTTCACATCCTCCGTCTGCCAGTTCTGGTGCTGCCCGTTTTATATAAAAAGCTTCTTCACCCCATTTTTAGCTTCCTTCTTTTGTGTTTTATTTTTTTTCCCTTTTAACAGAAATTCTGGCATTCAACTTACCTCCAAGAATAGCTCAAAGCTGAAGTTCAGGGTTTAGTCATGAGAATTACATTTCTCTCCACGTTGGAAATACTCTTCCCCAATCTCTGTCATTAAGAGTCCTACAGAGCTAGGTGATTTCAATTACAATGAAACATATCACTTTGTAGAACATACAGGAGGGAGCGTATCTCCTACAGGAAGGAGAATTCATAACACTGATTTTTCGTATCAATAATATGTGCTCCCACTCTACGCCTTAAGAATTTTATGTGTCTATAAGAACATCTCTTCCTTGAAAACGAAGGTTTTGTATGGAAAGCACAGCTCTAGTATATTAAAATGCATGCCTGTATATTTCCTAGGCTGGAAAGGTTTTCAAATGATGACTATAATTTGTAAGAATGGTAGAATACTTTTACACGGTTTTTGTGTTGGAAAATACTAACCAGCAGCAGTTATAAAATATATTGGAAAGAATCCAAGAGAGCTCCCTGAATGGTCTTTTATTTCTCATCATACGATCCTATTTCAGAATCTCTTTCTCAGTCATTTTTGAAAATATAAACATCGTTTTTCCTTTTCAGAGAAGTGATCGGGTTAGTTTACCGGTCGAAATGAGCAAAACGGGAGGAGAAACATGAGGTCTGCGTGTTTTTGTGTTAACGGTCCGTATGAACCAGTGGCGTATTTTCAAAATGATACTTTCCTAACCTTGTATTTAATGAGTTATGAAACTTGCGTCCTTCCCAGGAGCACACCTGCCAGACTCTCTGCTTTCTCAGCCCAGACCCTGAGAGTTGTGTTTACTTACAGAAGCGCAGTTTTCAGACTTGTCTTCCACAAACCCAATCTGGCATGGCGTCCTCTGATTCTGTAACCAGTAGTCTGTAGACTCTAGCAGACTGTTGCTTCGAAGAACCTAAGGGAATCCAGAAAACCTTCTTAGTGTTACAAGGTCAGGTTTTCTAGTTAAACCAGTGGTTCTTTTCTGATAAACCTGTTTTTCGTGTTTTCTTTACCTCAGAGCATCTGGATACTGGGAAAAAAAAAACACCTTGCATGATAATAACACCTCTAGAACATGTCAAATAGTCAACCAGGAGTTGGTTTTAGAGGAATGCAATGGTATTGAAACTGATGCTTCTTCTGTCATCAAGTCCTACATCTGGAAACTTCGATGATGTCCAACATGGGGAAACTTCCAATGACTATTTTGGGGTATGGTTCATTTGGCATTGAGGCTCAAAGTTCACTTTACAGCTGGTGCTCTTGTACACTCTATGAATATTTTCAATCTTAAAAAATGTACTGTTTTTTCCTTTTGGTGCAATATTGCTACTGAAATGATGATTATTTTGTATTATCATTTATTTTAAATTTTTTTAATGTTTATTTTTGAAGGGGAGAGAGACAGAGCGCGAGTGGGGGAGGGGCAGAGAGAGGAAGACACAGAATTCGAAGCAGGCTCCAGGCTCTGCGCTGTCAGCACAGAGCCCGAAGCGGGGCTCGAACCCACAAACCGCGAGATCATGACCTGAGCCAAAGTCGGACGCTCAACCGACTGAGCCACCCAGGTGCCCTGAAATGATGATTCTTAAGCTTCAGCTTTGCTAATGTGTATGTGAAATAGGGCTCAATTTTTCTAGAATACCTAACGTATTATGTCAAGTTTTAAAATTATCGGGAATAATTAAAGTGCCTCGTGATAATCATTTTCCACTTAGAAACAGTACAGTAAAGCAAAACAAATTTGAATAAATGAATTAACAAAACCAAATATGATTTACAAGTGACTTGTTTCTGGGCTTGGATTTTAAAGTACGGAAGAAAAATTCTATTTCTGAGACAAGACATTTTGAACATGCAATCTCATGAATAACCAAACAATTCAGTTTCTAATGTGTCTTAACATTGCCCAAACATTCCACAAGATTTTTTCCAACTTACTTAAGATTTCCAGTGCTCTGCTGGTGCCCTCTACTTTATTAGGGTGCATGTCTGCTAATATTTGACTACTACCTTCACTTAAGCCATATAACAGATTTAATCAGTTTGGTTAATGCCACAAAAGTAGAATGGCACTTCGATTACATTTTATTTGTATAACAAAGGATTGTCTTATGCTATAAAGAGAAAAATGCATTAATTTTTGTCTCAGTTGTGAGTTAGCCAAATATAATTCTGACACATGTTCCCATAACACGTCTTGTTTTCACCAAGAAATGTTATTTGCTTTTAAATCTTCCCACTCGATGTTTATTATCATCTAGAGATGACAGATTTCCATCATTCTTTTCTAGAACAGCGCACAAAAAGACATACTATGGATAAGTAGGTATTTGAATGATGAACTTGGGCTATGACTGTGGACTACAGTTAGCAACACAGCTTTTCAGTTCTCTTACGGATTTTACCTGAACTGTGGTTCTCAAAGTGAGGGCTGGCCTACCAAGGGAACCCTGAAATCTTCCAGAGAGGCCCGCAAACAATTTCCATAATAACAGGAAGACATTACTTGTCCATTTCGCTCTCACAGTCTCTTAAATCCTCTGTGGAGTCCTCCAGGGCTCATGTGCGGTGTCACAGCAAGACCGGCCATGGGCCGAAGATAATGGCAGGGTCTAGGTGCCTTCTGCCAAGTTAGACTTTAAGGAGATGTGCTAAAAATGTAAAATGACATCACTCTTTTCACTAAAAGAGGTGTGTCTTTTGAAACCGATTTAACTTTACATAAAATTTCATATTAATTCCTGTGTTGCTGATTATAGCCATTTTTTTGGATAAAGATGTGGTATGTTTATGTATATATGTATATATATGCACATATACAATCATCAAAAAGAATGAAACCTTGCCATTTGCAATGACATGGATAAAGCTAGAGAGTATAATGCTAAGTGAAATAAGCCAGAGAAAGACAAATACCATATAATTTCATTCCTATGTGGAATGTAATCATATGTGGAATTTAAGAAACAAAACAAGGGGCGCCTGGGTGGCGCAGTCGGTTAAGCGTCCGACTTCAGCCAGGTCATGATCTCGCGGTCCGGGAGTTCGAGCCCCGTGTCAGGCTCTGGGCTGATGGCTCAGAGCCTGGAGCCTGCTTTGGATTCTGTGTCTCCCTCTCTCTCTGCCCCTCCCCCATTCATGCTCTGTCTCTCTCTGTCCCAAAAATAAATAAACGTTGAGAGAAACAAAACAAAAGGGTAAAGGGGAAAAAGAGAGAGAGAAACCAAGAAAGAGACTCTTAATTATAGATAACAAACAGATGGTTACCAGAGCAGAGATGGATGAGGGGATGGGTTAAACAGGTGATGGGGATTAAGCAGTGAACTTGTGATGAGCACCAGGTGATGTATGGAAGTGTTAAATCACTATACTCTACACCTGAAAGTCCTATTACACTGTACCTTAACTGGAACTTAAATAAAAATGTGTAAAAAGATGAATGTTGACATTTAATGTGTTTATTGTTGCTTTAAAATATTTTAAAATAGGACCTGTCATTTTGAAATAAATAAATAATTCCCCCAATTTTCTTAGCTTTAATTGGGAATTTGAAAAAAGTAAAACGTCAGAAAGCAAAATCCCTGTAAACAAAAGCTTTGTGAGGTCCCCAATACTTTTCTTTAGAGCGCAAGGGTATTTTGAGCCCCACCCTTCTCCCAAATTGAGAACCACTGATCTAGATTAACTTTATTTAAAGTAGAAAACGTCTCTTGCTCCAGCCCCCTCCTCACTGCCATTCACTTTTACTTCCATCACGGGACAGAGCTGAAGAGCACCTCTATGAGTGGGTCTGAGTTGACATCCTAGCTTAGCCATTGGTGGCAGAATGACCTCGGGCAGTTGACCTCAATTCTGAGTTTCAGCTTCCACACCTGTGGGTGGGGAAAATAATACCCACGGGTGGGATCACGAGTACTCGGGGAGAGGACGGCTGTCACACATTGTGGCGCGCAGACGGAAGGTTATCCTCTCAGTACGTGCTTTTCGTTGTTACTATTTGAAGCGCACTCCAAAGGGAAGTCGTACATTGCATGCCTTCGCTTGAAATTAGTGGATTGAAACCATTTCAGATCTGTGAAGACAAATTCTCTTTAGCAAATGTTCTAATCTAAGGTGTGGTTTTCGTTCTGCATTTTGCAGTATTAATAAGTACAGCTACTATTTTTTATATGCTTAGAATGTGCTAGAAAATGTGCTGAAGTTTTCTCTCTTTTTTTAACCTTTTAATTTAATCCTTATTGCAATGCTACAAGGTACGAGTTAAAGATAAGGATCTTCACAGAAATTGTTATTTTGAGGGTGAAGGACCTTGAGGCTCAGAGAGATTTGAGTTTCTTCCCCAAGTTGCTCAGAGCCTCCTGGCTTTTGATTTGGTTTTAAAGACACCAAGGCCTGTGAATGAAATCATTTAATTATGCTGCCTTCTTCCTTAACCATACAGAGTGACTCTAATTTGGGGTATGTCTCTCAAAAGTTACGTGTGTCCATTTTTCGTGTGAATGTAACTACACCTTCTTATGGACTTCCATTTTAAAGCTCTTTTCCATGAATGAAACTCTGAGGTGACATTTTTCTTCAAGGAGCAGAAACATTTTATGATGTAAATTATAACAGTTAAATTAATCCACTTGGCCTGTATTATCAGTATTTTAATTTTTCTTTTTATTTTTTTTCAATATATGAAATTTATTGTCAAATTGGTTTCCATACAACACCCAGGGCTCATCCCAAAAGGTGCCCTCCTCAATACCCATCACCCACCCCCCCCTCCCTCCCACCCCCCATCAACCCTCGGTTTGTTCTCAGTTTTTAAGAGTCTTTTATGCTTTGGGTCTCTCCCACTCTAACCTCTTTTTTTTTTTTTTTCCTTCCCCTCCCCCATGCGTTTCTGTTAAGTTTCTCAGGATCCACATAAGCGTGAAAACATACGGTATCTGTCTTTCTCTGTATGGCTTATTTCACTTAGTATCACACTCTCCAGTTCCATCCACGTTACTACAAAGGGCCATATTTCATTCTTTCTCATTGCCACGTAGTACTCCATTGTGTATATAAACCACAATTTCTTTATCCATTCATCAGTTGATGGACATTTAGGCTCTTTCCATAATTTGGCTATTGTTGAGAGTGATGCTATGAACACTGGGGTACAAGTGCCCCTATGCATCAGTACTCCTGTGTCCCTTGGGTAAATTCCTAGCAGTGCTATTGCTGGGTCATAGGGTAGGTCTATTTTTAATTTTCTGAGGAACCTCCACACTGTTTTCCAGAGTGGCTGCACCAATTTGCATTCCCACCAACAGTCCAAGAGGAAAAACGTTGGTTAGAGGCCATGAAGTAGGTGGCAATGCCTTAACCATATGCGTGTTGTCAGGCCCGAGGGCCTCTTCCATCCTTGTCAAGGGGCGTGTAACCTTCTCTCCTTTCATACAACACAGTATTTTAATTTTTCAAAGGAAAGCATACTTTTACATCTATTTGTGTTAACGCTGAAAGAAATCCCTATTGTCAGCTTCTACTGCCCCTTGCCTGTGCTCTTTAAAATGTGGAACTCCCATCAATAAATCAGAGCCTTTGTTCACTCCGCACCATAACAATGTTAGAGATTTAAAAATGGAAGCATCAAATAAACATACCAGTTAATAATACTTCGCAGTGTAGTTTAATAAGTGCTCTGACTACCATCACTTCGAAGCCATTTCAAAGCTCACTCCTCAAAAAAGCAGCCACTGGACCTCTTCTACTTTCTGGATATTCAGAGCACAAGGCGTTAGGGTTGCAACAACATAGGTCAAGAAAAGAAAGCAACTGTTACTTATTCTTGTCCAAGGTCAGCCTTAGGAAGAGGACAGAGATCAGACACAAATCACTTGAGTCTTTCAGAAAGGTGGTGGCTGGATTGGCATGGTT